TCATATTTATGAAAATGTAGCTTTAAAACTAGCCACATACGAGACAAGGGCAGGTGCATGTGGACCCAAATTTGAGTTTCTAAATACCACATCTTGGGAATTTTTGGACTAAAAGGCTACCATGGGACATCCACGCTATTCGTCAGGCTATGGTAAAGATAAGATTAGTGTTGTACACTTGTACTACACATTACACAATCCAACTTGGCAGCCTTACCCCTAACACCATGTATCTGCGCCAGTTATGATTGCTGGTACAATTGTTAAAGTTATTAATATATGTTTTTTAATTTTATTAAATTATTTATATACTTATTTAATTTAAGTGATGAAAGTAAAAATGAAAAAAAAATTTATTTATATTGAGTGGGTAAATAACTTTAACAGAACAAAAAGAAAGATGTTCGTGGCCTTAATAATTATGTTGCTGGGTATAATTGAAGCCCATTTATCTCCGCTTCATAGCCTTTTAAGTATGACTGTTATCCAAAAATAACAAAACCCTTTATAAAAAATTAAAAAAAAAATCATTGAGTATTAATTCTAAATTCAAAATTTAAAACAAATAAAAATAGATTTAAAAACTAAATGGCCTAGGAAAGGGGTTGAGGAGGGGTACCACAAATTCGAACTTTGTTACTGAGTGAAGAAGTCTTTTATAATTAGATAGATAAGCAATAAACCTGAAAGCTTTCCTCATCTAATATTATTGTTGTGTATATATGTATAACTCATTAAATGCAAATATTTTTCTTTGTTTCAAAATGAGAGGTCTTCATTAAAAGAAGTTGGCATAAGGATCAACGTGCTCATGTTACCCATTTGTAGAAGATCCCCATAAACAGAAGCTGAATTAACCAATAAAATGTCCCATTTTAAGATTCAAAGACATTGGCTTTGGAATTACTAACAATTGCTTAGGAGGCAGGAGAGAGCTACAGCTGTATTCATTGAATCTAGACTAGACATTATTATTATATATATTTTTTTTTTTTGAGGAAAAGGAAATTTATATAGTATATCATAATAATGTACATTATTTACAAAGACCATCCTGTAGCAGTAAGGAGAACAGAACATTAGGAGGTCTATGTGCCCAAAAAAAGGGGCATTGCCCTTTAAGTGACTGTTTAGCCACCCAATCTGCAACCTTATTATCCTTTCGTGGGATAAAGGAAATCATGAACTGCGGGTGGCGATGAGAGATTTCTCTAAGGGCCAGGATGATTGACTTAATCTCCCATGGGATTGGTTTATGAGCTTGCAATAGGGATAAAATTAAAGCTTGGTTATCTGATTCAAACAAGACATTTTGGGCGCCCATGCTTTCCATATATTTAGCAGCTTTGCATAAAGCAACCGCCTCTGCCATAAGCGGTGATGATGCCATAGCGAGCCAGGATTCTCCAACACAAATCTCACCTTTAAAGTTGCGCCCAACCATTGCTAGAGCAGCACAACCCGTTTGGGGAGAGAAAGAGGCATCAACATTGACTTTAAGGAAGCCCGTTGGAGGTCTAACCCAGGAGGATTGCTGTTGTTTCCCATCAGCTCGTGACCTAGACGGGGCAAGCGGTAAGTTTTTAGACATGCTAGAGGAGTAGTCATGGATCGTAGCAGAGATACGAGCAAGGATTTGATGAGGATTAAAATCCACATGTTCAAAGTGTTTCTCATTTCTTGCCTTCCATAGATGCCAACAGATTATTGCACTTTGATCAACCAGAGATGGTAAACCCATTTGCTTTGCTAAACCATTAATGAACCTCCACCAGTCTCTAAAACAATTCACCCGCAGTTGCCGAGGGTTAAGACCCAAGGTGGAGCCAAACCAAATTGGTTCAACTTGAGGGCAAAAAAATAAGAGATGCATCAAGGTCTCATCAGCTCCCTGACAATTAGGGCAGTTCATCTCTTGTAACACTCCCCTTTTTACCAAATTATCCAAAGAGGGCAGAGAATTTAGTATGGCTCTCCACAAAAAAACCCGAACCTTGGGGGGAATTTTCAATCGCCATAATTGTTTCCACTCTCCAATGGTCATGTCCCTATTGGTTTCATGTATTCCTGGTTCACGGGTCATATTATATGCAAGGAAATAAGCACTTTTGACTGAAAATTTCCCAACTTTATCATAATGCCAGATAAAAGAGTCAGGGCATGCACCAGTCGAGATTTTGAGAATTTCTCTGCACTCTTGGTTGCTGAAGCTAAGATTTAATTTTGTAATATCCCATTCTCCCCCATCATCAAGTAGTTCACAAACATAAGTAAACAAAGAGTGAGTTTCAGGAGAGGTCACCATAAATCCTGGCAGAGTGGGAACCCATCTGTCTTCAAAAATCAGAATATTTTGACCGTTCCCGACATTCCATCTCATGCCGATTTGGATGATATCTCTTCCTCGTAAAATGCTTGACCAAATCCAAGAAGGGTGACTTCCCTTTCTAGCAGCCAAAAAGGAGGAATCTGAGAAGTATAAACTTTTTAAGACTTGGACCCATAAGGCATTAGGATTTTGCAATAATCTCCAAGCCTGTCGGGCTAACATTGCCAGGTTAAAACAGTATAGATCTTTAAAGCCCATACCTCCCATATGCTTGCTTTTTGAGAGTTGGCTCCAACTGACCCAGCATATTTTTCTTTCCTCAGCTTGTTGGCCCCACCAAAATTCCCTGATGATTCTGTTGATATCTTGACAAACTCCTACAGGGAAAAGAAAACAAGACATGGTAAAAGTGGGGATGGCCATAGCTACT